CGATAAATTTCCAGCTAGACTCATGGGACCAGCCCATGTAAAACGAGTCGTAGCTGATGTTTTTTTCTTCTTCTTTCGGCTGGTGGAAACACAAAAGATATCAAAAACGAAAACACAATTTTGTATATGAAAATTTCATGCCTCAAAACGTAGCTAAAGGAAGTTTGCATTTTGTCTGCACGCGGCCGCAACCCTGCCAGGCGGCAACAAAGCGCCCAGGCTGTTGTTGGTGTTGCTTGTTTGTCAACTATGCTGCGACCTCTGCCAGTGACAGGGTCCAAGTCGAAAGCGGAGTTTGCCGCCCTGCTGTCGCTGGTGTTGATGATTTTGTTGATGTGCTCGTTGAGTTTGATGTGGCAGGCGCACAAACCCCGAAGCCCGCACTTCGTTCAGCGCACCCTAAGCCCCCACCAAAACAAAAAACCGGGCCCAATCCCAGGTCTGGGAAATTCGATGCGCATTCTATTCATTGGCGTGTCGGTCCTAGAAATATGATAATGTGCCAGCAGCGAGAGGAGCAGCAAGCGGCAGCAACCAAATATGCAACAGTCAGTTCGTAAATTTTCATTGTAAAATAAGAAGTGAGTGTGCGAGTGTCGCTCTGTGTGTGTGTGTGTGTGCGTGTGCGTGTGTGTGTGTGTGTGCGTGTGCGCAATGTTAGGGGATGAAGATGTATTGCCTTTTGTGCAATTTGACGTAATGTTACATAAGCTCTCTGCCTGGCCGTATTCGGGTGGGGTGGGATGCTCATTATGAAAGGCGCAGGCAACATCGAATTTCTGTTTCAATTTTTATGATTGTGAACTTGGCCGGGTACGTAGTACTACGTGCGGCAGCTGGTGCCCCTTTTGGGATTGGTTTTTATTCTTTTTGGTCGGTCTCGAATTGGGATCGGAACTGGTTTCGGGGTGCGCAGATACGTAACAACAGATATGGGTAATTTTTGGCAGCCGTGCGAGCGCTTCTATTCAAAAGTTGTTTAATGCGTAAAATTTTAATTTTTTTATCGTCGTCTGCGTTGTTATTGTTGTTATGCCACGTTGGTGGCGGAAATCGTGTCAGCGTTTGACAAAAGAGTTAAAAAGTTGTGGGAAAGGCAGATGCTTGCATCAGAGCGATTGACTGATGCTGAGGTGTGAATGGATATTTGAGTTTGGGGAGTGACAATGGGATTCCAAAACGCAGCTTGATGGGAGATTATGAATATATCTAAAACAGTATATTTAACTATACTTCCTGAGAAAAGAATATGAAAAACAAAATAGCTTAAGTTGCCTTGCCTTGCTGTCTTACACTTATGTGCCTCCCCGGTAAAAGCTTGACACAACTTCGAATGTCTTGTTAACTATCGAAGCCTCCGCCAGTGCTAATTCACAGCATGAACCTTTTAAATTACCAGATAGATTTGCCTTGCTGTCAAACCAAGAAAATGTAATTCTATTAAAAGTAAACCAGCGAAAATACAAGAAAAAATGCCTTCACGCTACAAAGCAAACTGAAACAGACATAGTAAAGGAGACAGAGAAAGAAAAATCTCTCAGGCTCTTTGGCCATGTGAATGAGAAACTGTCGGCCAGCCAAATGAAAATTGTCTAATTGTGCGTGGTAAGATAACAAACAGCCAACGGCAAGAGGGCCAGAGCTTCCTGTTATTGTTATTGCTATTGTTCCTACTCAGCTTGATGTTGTTGTCGTTGTTGTTGCAGTCGTAACACATTTCGTCAATGTAAATAAGCAAAAATTGGGCGACAGCAGCAACAAAGATAATCGCCTTAGTAGCAAAAGCGAAAAGTGCACTCCAGGTCATGGATGTGAATGTGGCATTAAAGCCGCAATGACAACAACAAGCTGCCACACACATGCTTACACAAACACACATACACACGTACAGATACACGGGATATTCATCAGCCAGCCAACCCTCGTCGTAACTTTAAAACTGTAACAATTGGCGATTGTGTGGGTCTTGCGGCTTGACAAACGCTAAGCACGCAGCGCCGAGCGCTGGGCACGGAGCGGAAAGGATAACACGCACTTCTGAGGCTGCCCCACGCCATGAAAGTTAATTTACGTCACGCAGCATTTTCAATCAATGTCAGACGGGGGTTAGCTGCCACCGAAGGGTTGAGGTCTGAGTGCTGAGTGCTGACTGCTGACTGCTGAGGGCTGAGATGTGAGGGTTGGACGCCCGCTGTTCTTGTTTATTTTCATTTTCGCAGCTAAGGCAATCAAATTGATCTCGTTTTGATTTGCATTTAAGCGACACTTGACAAGCGACATAGCCGACTTTTAAATGTAAATAAACACACACGGACTTTAACATATTTTCATAGCTGACATTGCTGACATTTATCGCCTGGTTTGGCTCTTTAATTGCGCATTAACTGTTGCGCCAAAAATGGAAAATGAAAAGAAAAATACAGACGTTGAAACCCGTCATCATCGTCATCAACATTTTGGGCAGGTCACAACCCAGAGATATACAAATATTTTTTAATTGAATGCAACGCTGGTACGCGCGACGTTGATGAGGGTGCCCTATAATTATAGACCCAAAGACTAACTCTCCAAACTGAATCGAGACTGACACGAAACTGTCTGCAGGCCCGACTCGCCTCAACTCCACTCGACTCAGCGACTGACTTGTGGCTTTCCACCAACTAATTGCTGGGATTATTTATTTATGGAAATCTATCTAGGCAGAAGTCGCCGCGTTTACGCCCCTAACAATTTCGATTATGATGAGGCCAGTAATTAAGCCAAGCAAGATGGATCTTAACGGACCCAGACCTTGGCAGCAAAACCATAAGCGTCAAATCAATACAGTTCAAAATATGTAGGCCTTGAGCAATCGAGTGACACTCTCAAATCTCATCAAAAAGCGATTAAACGTAATACTTTTTCGATGAAAAACTTTACTATAGCGATTAGTATATTGAGTAAAGTAGTATCTTATTTTCCATAAATCTGATCTATGCCAAGCGAGACAATTATGGCCTCTACTTTATCTCTAATCATTCATTAAAATAATCTTTGTTTATTTTTATTGATTTAGCTTTATAAAAATGTATTTGCTTTAAGTCGGTACCGCCATATGCCTCTCTCTCGCGCTCTCCCTTTGGAAAATTGCCTGACCTCATAAATTGGAACGATTTAAACATTTCGAGTGCTGCTCATCACACACACACACACACAGCACAACACAAACTTGAGAGGCAAGGCAGTCAGAGGACACATCCTTGTGCCGCTTTTACTTGTGCTACGTTTTCTTTATGCTTTCTGCGAAAAATTCCTGTCAAAATTGATAAAAATCACATTTTCCATTTGAATAACATTTTACGAATTCGTGCATAAAATTACGGCAACCCTCAGCGGCCGTTGCTACCCCAACCAGAGCCCCTGTCCATGTCTCTGCCCGTGTCCCTGGCTGTGTCCTTGTCGCCGCTTCTGCTCCTGCTCCTTGCTTTGTGTGTGTGCAATGGAATTTGTGCTGCAGCAGCAGTGAATTTCTTTGGTAACCACATTCCTGGACTTCTGCCTCCTCCTTGTCTGTCTGCATGTCTACTTAAAATGTAGAAAATATCTATTTGCTACGCCCGAAATACGCGCCGCAAATTTGCCCAGCTAAGGGAAATGATGTGAATTCACCGAGCGATGCGAAATTTTCTTATCGCCATGGCGAAAATGAAACGAACATTAAAATTTGTTCGTTGCCCGCAAAAAGTTATTCAAGTGTAGATAATTTTCATTCGCGCAGATCCACGTACACACACACACACATAAAACGGAAAGTGCAGCTTCAAATACTTCTACTGTGTTTAAAAATTTAATTTGTCTACAAAGTAACTCGACGTGTAGATAAATCAATCAAGATGGCGCGTCGTGCCAACCGAAAAAAAACTACAACACTCATAAAAAGCGCCACAAAAGTTGACTAGAATATTTTTGTTGTGTTGCAAATAGTGTATTGCTTTTGTAGTCGGCTCACTTTAAACTTTTTGGGTTGATTTTTGTTGTTTTCAGTCCGTCAGTCAGTCAGTCAGCCCATCGGTCTGTCCAGCGGATTGGCTTTGGCGTGTGTGTAAAGCAATATCTATAGCAAAAGCAACCCACCAACCCGTCCAGCTGGCAGCCTCCTCCTTCCGCCAGTAAAAATCATGGCAAGGCTTGAGAGCGCGTCATTTGGTCTATGGCCGAAAAGTTGCGCCTTCCTCAAAAACTGAAACTGCATTATCACCATGGGCCACTCGAGGCTCCAAGCGGCGGACGACGAGTGGCCCGAGAGTGTCTCTTTCGAGTGGTGTTTGCGCCGAGCGCTTTTGTTTTCTTGCCGGCAACAGAAAAACACATAAAAATATTTTGCCTATCACCATAAATAATTCAACGTGGAGCCCAAGTGACGATGCCGAGCATCGAGCACCGACCAGAGCTCCGAGCATAAAAATCTTCAAAAAGAAGCGCCAAGTGCGAAGTTATTATTTTTGTTGTTACTCCTCTTGTGGTTGTTGTTGTTGTTGTTGCTGCTGCACGCACTCAAAATATTGAAAAATCTTTCGGCTGCCACAACTTTTGAAGTTGGCGTTGTGGAGTGAAGAATGAAGAGTGTGTGCAATCGCCAACTCTGCAACATGCAAAAGACAGGCAGTCTACGAGTCGAGGCTTTGGGTTGTCCCTAAGTATCTCTAAGTCGCACTTGCCCCATGTGTGTGCGAGTGTGTGAGCGTGTATGTGCTTAAGCTCTAAGCCGTGTTACTGTTTGTTGAAGTAGTTGTCTGCTCATAACTTTGCCCAGCTACAAGCAGCCGCAGCAGCACTTCAAACTGAAGCAAACAACATAATCAAAGAGCTGACAAAGCGTCAAATCAGCAAAGGTGTAAAGAGCATACACTCCTCGGCTAAAGCTCAACAGTACCGCATGGTGAATTATTCATTTGATTTTCTTTCTTCAGGTTGATAACAATTTTTTCAAATAGATATATTATTGCATGTGAACTACTTACCAGGGTCTGATGTATCTAAGACAGGTGGCTGCTGTGATAATGGACCGGGTGTACTACCAGCGCCCGGCGAACGCGCATCATCGTTCATTGCGCCCCCATAGGACAACGATGAGCTGGGCGGCCGCTGCAAATGCATAAAAAATAGATAGTTAACGCATTAATACTTTTACTTTACAGAGCGATAATAGATATATGAGTGAGTGCATACATATTTATATTTATACATAGATCAAATTGACGAGCAAGCGTTGGGTGTTTGTTAGAATTAGTTACAAATTGCTTATAAATGTCGCTTTAAATTGACACGCCAACCATAAAATGAGCCACATAAAACTGGACATACAATCAATATAAACCCGGGGACGACCAAGACATCACCAAGTCTGTTGTTGTTGCTGTCGATGTCGATGTCGATGTTGCTGTCCAAGTCGATGACTCTGTCCGGGCTGTCTTAGTGTGCTCGTCTGAGTCTTCGTCTGAGTCTTAGTCTGCACGACTGTCAAGTTGTCAAAACTGCCATGGCCCGGCCATATTATGGCCAAACAAATGCCCCAACAACGATCGTGGCCTAGGCCTAGACAACAACAATAGCAACAACATCATGTGCAAATATATATATATATATATATATATATATATAGCATATATATATATATATATATAAGTTATCAAATTAATATGCAGCAGAGCCAGCTCTGCTTTGGCTATGCCTGCGACTCCGGGCGTCTTCTAACTAGGAGTAGAAAGAACCACAACAGCCTCGTCATCTTTAGCGGTGCGACGTCGACGACGATGGCGGCATATTAAGCGCTCCGCTCGGCCTGCAGATACCAAAAATGTCAATGTCCAGGCTCGCCAGGGCACTCATAGCCATAGCCATATTTTTAGCCAGCCGTCCTCACGTACCCACTGCCCCCCCGAAACCTACGAACGATGCTCGAAATCGATCGGTAACAGCAATTTAAATTCTGCTAATAACGACAAAATTTGTTGTCGCTCGCAGACGTCAACAAAAATAATACGCCGCGGCATTAATTTCATGCACGTGTACACAGATGTTGAGGTATATACAAATATATGTACACGTATATAAATATATTATTTATTTGCCTTTGTTGTTTTTGCTGCTTTTGCTACCTTGCCTTCCTCCCTGCAGCGCAAAGGCGAATTGTTCACAATTTTTAAGCATTAAGTTATTATTTTCCCAAGCTCGTAAAAATTCTTGACTTTCGAATACAATAAATTTCGAGTGTGCGTACAACCATTTTTGATTCATTTGGCATGCAGAGCGCATCGCATGTGTTTTCGCTAAATATTTGTTAAATCGCATATTAATAGCGCCCCGCTATAGACAATCCAAATGACCAAGTGGGTGTGTGTATGAGTGTGTGGGTGTGTGAATGGGTGTGTATTTCTACACTTAATTGACTACCTCAGCACGTTGCCAGCCAACAGGCATTTGAACCAAAGCTGTAATCATATTGCAGTTTTTATTATTGCTGGAAGAGGAAGCCTTAGCAGAAACAGTGGAAAATGTTCCCGGAACTGGAAAAAGATCTCTCATATTAGCTGGATAAATAGATTACAGGTCGAATCCAATGAAATGTTGTGTAACAGGAATTTCTTTTTGACAACAATATCAAAGCACTTTGAAAATCTTAATGGAATATAAAATAACGTTATTTACAGTGCTCTCAATATTGAATGTTGTTTCATATTTATCACTTAAAGTAGTGGAAAATGTGTGAGAGAATAATTTTGGCTAGTTGCCAATGTTTCTGAGTCGTCTTTTAATTCGTTATTCGAAAATTGCTACTTTGGCAATCAAAGTATTAATAATTAGCTACGTTGTCTGCATTTTTAAAATCAAATAGAAGTAACGTCTTTCTCTCTCGTTTGACATACAAGTAGTTTGTCTCTCTGTCTTTGTCCCGTGTCTGTATGAACTACGAGGTGTCTGTTGATAGTCGCATAAACAATTTCCAGCCTTAACGGACATGACTGGCGGTGCCTCGATGCCTCTCGCCCAAAGCGGAATCGGAGCTATTGTGATTCTCACTTATTTTTATATGAGCGTCAGTCTCTTTTGCAACTTTATGGGCTATAAAAAAACGGGACAACCGCAGCCTAATTTGTGGCTCATTAAAGCGAGCGAAACTATTTAATAAGCTGCATTAAAAGCTGAAAGCAAAAAAAAAAAAAAAAAACAAAATAATAACAAAAAAAAAAGAGAAGAGAACCAAAGTAAAACAAAGGGTTGCATTTTCCCAACGAAAACGAAACGAAAGTTTCCTTTTATGAGTGGCATGTTGGGCGAAATTCGATAGGTCTGTCGGCAGTGGACGTTTTCAGAGTTCGAGTCGGTCAGCTTTACGAATCTTTCACACTTGCCGCACACTTTGACTTGAAGGTTCTGTGCGCTGCGGGGCGGTCTCCAACCTATTGAAATTGTATCGAGTTACCTGAACACGGCGAGTGTTGCAGATAGCCGGCGCAAGACGCTGCGGCATGCGGCATGCGGCATGCGTCGTGCTAAGTGCCAGTCGCGCTCCTTGAAAGGATGGCACAGGACAGAAGTGGATGCGGCACTGGATCAGGGCTTATCGATGCGTGCATTAATTACATTTTCAATTAGCAAGCGGCCAGGAAATTAAGCTATCGAGTTGCCATTGGCACGAATCGGATCGCTTGTTGTTGTTGTTGCTTTTGCTGCTGCTGTTGCTTATCACATTGCATGTCCTGCGACAATTATAATCAAATATTGGTTTTTATTTAAATGATGAGGGCCAAGCTGCCGCTTTTACTATTAATGAAATTGAACTAAGGCAATGGCTTGCCACACTTTCCTCCTGCCAGCTCATGCCGCTCGACAACATGCCTTCATGCCGCTTCACATCACGTAATGTTGCCCCAAACTTTTTCACTTTGCGTCCCTTTGGGTGCATTAAAATGATCAAGAAACAATTTTCGTTTACCTTTTTGGCTCTGAGGGGATTGGGGAGTTTATTCTACCATCTACTTGGGGGCCTGGGGACCTGACAGCCGCCCGCTGCCCGCTGCCCTCCACCAGCCACCTGCCACCCGCCGCGCACTGCCTGCCAGCCAAATTATTTATTTATCAGCTAAACGCAGCGTCAATAAGCAAAATGGCGTTGCCAGCTCTTTAAATTTTTGATGATGCCAGAACTCGACTACATCGAGACATGACAATCGTGTTGTTTAAAAATTTAAACGTGCCGCACATTAAACAACCGCAAATTGTGCTTGCAGGCGAGCCATAAAATGTAATCGCCCCGAAATGAACAACAAACAACTAAACAACAACAACAATAGCCACTTGGTCAATTGGTGTTGCCAAACTTTTGTTGTTTTGTTTGATTGCCCGGACACTTCATTATGTTGCGTATGGCCCCCTCTGTCTAGTCGCTGGTCTGACTCTGGTCAGCTTTCCAAGTGACTTGGCTAAGTCGGCTCAGCTGCCGCATAATTGCTCCTCGCCCAACCAAACGCCGCGTGCCGTGCCCACCCAGAAAAAAAAAAGAAAAGGAACGAAAGGAAATGCAGGAGTCAAAACATGCAATTTTCACTAGAGATTCGGCTCTATAATTTACTAGCTGGTAATCACAGCGCTGCCTCGCCGCCGTTAATCACTACAATCAACAGTTAGTAGAGCTGCCCAACCCCTCAGGCCTCAGCCAGGCACAGCCCGGGCGGCACGGTCCAACCCACCACACTACAAACAAAACAATCAAATTATGGCGAACGGGAGCAGGCGTTTGATTCTCTTAGCAGAAATTTTCCAGCGCGTGGGAAGTGTTTTTCATTCCCATTTCGAGCAGAATTTTTTTTTCGGTGGCGTGGAAACGCGTGTGCCATCTCGAAAATTGTTGTTCCTGTTGCTGTTATTATGATTGTTACTCATTTGCTGGTGCGACACGAAACCAGGAGGCAGGACTTGAGACTCTCTAATTGCCCGGCAGTATTTGCCGCGTGCATTTGACATTTTGGCAATGGGGATGGGTATGGGTATGGGCATGGGTATAAGAATGGGAAAAGTATTAGGATTGGGCTGGCATTTGCAATTGATGTATCTGCTGCCTGAGGCCAACAAGGATAAGCCTGGGCTTGTTTTCACAATTAAAAACTGCAGCTTAGCATTTGGACCAGATCTAATAATCATTGTTGAGCTGCGCTCTTCAGTTGCCCCTCTATGCCTCTGGGCTATGAAGTACTATTTGCTTAGCTCGAAAGTGGACGTGAAACATATTTTTCTGTTTGTGTACAAACACTCAGACTGGGACTGACTGAGAACCGCAAGCAGGCAAGACACACACAAACACATATACTCGCATCCATATCCTTAGAACAAATAATTAAATCCTTTTTACATGGCCGCACAGACCGAAAGTTTTCGCTTGGTTTATGTTTCTGATGCGGTTCAGGGAGAGCAGAGAACCCCAAATACCAATCCGTATAAACCCCGACGGCTGTTTGTTTTGATGGATTTGTTGTTTGGCATTGCCAGGGCACAAAAGCTTTTGTTTGTCTGTTTATGTCGTGTTGGTTGTTGTTCCTGCTGTGGCTTTAGCGCCCTGAAGCAGTGCTTAGTCAGACCCAGACCCAGACCTAGGCCCAACACCAGCCCCTGCCATTGCCGCATGCTCATTCCTTGCCTTCGCATCCCCATTGACAGGCAGCACAGCGTTGGCTGCGTTTCAGCTGCTTCTGCTTAATTAACGGTATATGCCCGGACCACCCCCACTCACTATACACCCACCGACTTGCCAGCCAGTGTGCCACTTCAGCAGCTCCTGATGTTGTTGTTGCCACCTTCTGTGTATTTAATTGCGCGCATGGCATTTAATTGTTTTTCAAATTTGTTCAAGTTGTAAAATGTTCGCTGAATGAAATGAAATGCGTTCTCATGTGTATATTGTTGTGTGTGTGGTGTGTGTGTGCTTGCAAGTGTCTTCATGTGTGCGCTGTGCCATTTTGTTTAAGGGTTGAATTTTTAATTAAAGTGGCTGGCATCGTAGGAGCACTGCTCCTTGGAAGACCAATCAGACTGGTGGGGGGAGGTCTGCTGAAGCAATTCACAATATGGCTGCCTTTTGGGGTTGCCCT